ATCCAAACTGTAGTTTTGTAGAACAAATACTTCTATTAAGGGGATTTAAGGGGATTTGTTCTGTGCTGCTATTGCTATTTCTTCTTTTTCTTCTGTCTATACCACATCTAACACAGTGCTAGTGACTGAATTTTCGTATGTTTAAAATAAATTTGACTGTGGGTAATAAACATAGAAAATATAATTTCTTTCTTCAGGCTAGTTACAATCATTTCCATTAAATTCATTAACATATGATTTTTATTCAACTATATATATTCAACTGTACATACATACAAATATATGCATACATTTGTATATGTATATATGTCACCTATAGGATAATTAGTACTAAGTTATGAGAAAAGTTGTGTTTTAAACAAGTGTTGTTTGTGTAAACCACAGTCTCTGCCTTATAGGAGCCTGCAATTTTATCAGGAAGACATAACTTACCCAAATAAAACAATTGATCAACAGTACAGGGTGCCTTATTAGACACTCAATAAATGCTTTTTCAACAGAGTTAGATGCAAAGAAATACACAATGAATTGCCTAAATGAATAATATAAATAATTAAAGATGATATCACTCATTTCTTAAAAACCTTCAATGTTTTCCCATTTGTCTACCGAATAAACATTAAACATCTTAACTTGGCATTCAAGGCCTTTATTATATAGCCCCAGTCTTCTCTTCATTCACTATATCCCTGGTTTCCTTTAAGACTCAGCTCTAGTTCCACCCTCTGTATTTGGCTTTTCCTGGTCTCTCCAGCTGCCACTACCTGTCCCCTTCTTCCCCTTTCCCCAGGTTACCCTGCATCTTTTTGGTATAAACATATGGGTATACATATTTTACATATACTCATATGTACATGTTTTGTCTCCTACTGAAATGTATGCTCCTAGAGGGTAGGGACCATTTTGCTTTTGTCTTTGAATCTCCAATACCTGGAATAGTGGGAGGGGGGAGATGAAGGGAACAAGCATTTATGAAGCATTTATGTGCCAGGCATTGTGCTAAGCACTTAATGAATATTATCTCATTTGATCCTCAATACACCCTTGGGAGGGAGGTGCTATTTTATTATACCCATGTTATTGGTTAGGAAACTGAGGCAAACAGATATTAAGTGACTTGTCCAGGTTCATACAGTTAGTAAGTGTCTGAGTCCATATTTGAACTCAGATTTTCCTGAGTCCAGGCCACAGGCTCTATCTATTGTGCCACCTAGCTACCTCCCAGCAGGCAGTTAATAAGTGCTTGTTAATTGACTGATTGATCGTCCATTTCATCCAAACCAATTCACTCACTGTTCTTCGAAAGGGCTACATGCTTTTCTACTTGTACTATGAGTTCATGCAATTCTTTCTCGACTTCCCTGCCTGAATTCTACCGAGCTTTAGGATGCCTTCCCTGATTTCCTCAGCTGTCCATTCTCCCTTACCTGAGTTCTTTTAGCATTTACTGTCCATAACACACATTTAGCTCTAAACATTTCCTACCAGTTACCATGGGTAGACAGATGGCACATTGGGTTCTGGGCCTGGAGTCAGAAAGATGCTTCTTCCTGAGTTCAAATCTGGCCTCAGACACTTAGTAGTTGTGTGACCCTGGACAAATCATTTAACCCTGTTTCCTCATCTGTAAAACGAGCAAGAGAAGGAAATGTCAAACCACTCCAGTATCTTTGCCAAGAAAACTCCAAGTAGAGTCATGAAGAGCTGGACACAACTGAACCACACTACCACCAATTATTGTCAATTAGCTTCTCATGTGTTTCTGTCTTATGCCTCAGGGTAGATCAGGGTGCTTGTGGCTAGATTTCAAAGATTATTTGAATATTTGTATTTTATTATAGTTCAATACATTTTATAATATTTATTACATTTATAATAAGTTATAATAATTTATGTATTATATAATTTTTATATTATTTATAATTATAATATTTTCAACATTGTATTTCAATATAATTAATTTCTTTGTAATCTATGTATTTTATTTTATGCATTAAAAAAATTCAGATTCATTGGTTCCACCAGACTACCAAAGGGGTCCATGACACAAAAAAGCAATGACCCCCTGAACTAGATTGTAAGTGCTTTGAAGGCATGGACAATAAGTATTTAATGATTTAATATGTACATATAAAAACATTGAGTATTGCAATAATAAATGAACTGTGTAATTATTTATAATAATTAATCACAAAACTTAGATGATATAACATATTCCCATTAATAACAACAATAATAATATCTAAGGGAATGAACTTTTCATTTTAAATGATATACATTTCAAAAGCTAAATCTGCACTATATACCTTTCAATGGTTAAACCTGTGATTTTTTTTGGCCACATACTTCATGCAACTCAGGTTGCCTATACAAATAAAACTAAGAGGCAGGGATTATTAAACATTAAGGGAGATTACACTATAGCTGGTTCAAAATATCGCTTTTCCCCGGTTCTGACAGTTAAATGTTTTTTATTGACAGGTAGAGTAAGCATTTGTCCTAGTTCTACCCCATTAGGAAATTGACAACAGTCTCTCTTCCACCAAATTAAACTGTCTGTCTTGAAACATGGACCTTTCGGTTTTCAACACGAAGTCCAAAGCACACAATTAGTCTGTTTGATTTCAGAGGGCTTGACTACAGGCACCACATTTGGGACTTTTTTCAGACAGTTATACAAAAGGGTTAGATTATTTATATCCCTGAGCACACAGCTACTTGAATTAGGTTCCCAATGTCTCCAGTCCAAAACAATCATATGATTTAAGTTTGGGTAATGAGGTAGTTGTTTATTTAAAAAAAAAAGTTGTGACACTTCTGAGCTCCATGTTACAAGCATCCTAAAGGTCCTTCAGGAGATATATCCATGTCACTGGGATGGGATCATCAGGCAAATTCCTTGCTGTAGATGTTGAGTGATTTCAGCTGAAATTACTGCAGCTCCCAGCGTGACCTTACTCAAAGAGAGTCAGAAGTCCTGGGCTCTCTCTAGTCTGGGTAGTTCAAAGTATGAGCAGAAATGTGTGAAGAAAGAGTTCAGCTGTTTTGGTTTGATTCTTTTTTTTTTTCCTTCCACAAATTCCCAGAGGGACTTTAGGCACATCATAGAATAATGATTGGAAGAGGCTTTAGGGAACATCTAATCAGACCACTTTTTATGGAAGAGGCCAGTGAGGCTCAGAGAGATGGAGAGACTTGTCCCAGGTTACACAGCAATTTAGACCCAGAACCAGAACCTTTCCATATAGCCCAGCTCTTTCAAATCCAAATACAATGTTCTTTTTTGCTATATCACACTCTAGCACAAGAGCAGAAAATGGATGATTTCAATGAATTGCCTTTTACAGGCTCAGAGAATCCCAAAATTTTTGACCTAGAAAGGACATTAGAGGCAATTCTGTCTGTCAAGGGAGCACAGCATGTTTAGTTTCCCGATCTTTTGAAATGTGGACCATGATTTCTATCCTGTCTCACTGAATTGTTATTAGATTGAAAGGAGAACATATAGGGACTTGCTTTGGAAATTACAAAACACCATATAAATATTCTGCATCATGGTTTGCTATGGAATAAAAGATTTGTGGTCTGGTGGCCAACTTTCTGGTGATGACCTACTCTGAACAGAGCTAGGCTCAGAGAGCTTTCTGGCACTGGGACCCTACCTCAAAGCCTTGCTACCTTGGTAGCTTGTACTGCAGTGGCACAACCTTCAAGAATACAGGGTCACTTTTACACCATAATGAGGTATCAAAGGAGGGCTTTTCTATAAATTATTTCTTCTTCTTCTTCTTCTTCTCCTTCTCCTTCTCCTTCTTCTTCTCCTTCTTCTCCTTCTTCTCCTTCTCCTTCTTCTTCTCCTTCTTCTTCTCCTTCTTCTTCTCCTTCTTCTCCTTCCTCCTCCTCCTTCTCCTTCTTCTCCTCCTTCTCCTCCTTCTTCTCTTTCTTCTTCTCCTTCTCCTCCTCCCCCTCTTCCTTTTCTTCCATTTTTCCACAAAGTATAAAAGGGTGGTGAGTAAAAAGAGCATGAGACCCTCGTTTGAGAAGGGTCAGAGGGCAGCAGAATTGAGTAAGGTTAGAGAACCAGGCTTAGAGTCTGAGAAACCTGGGTTGAAGTCTCATCTCTAACACATACTATTTATATAACCCTAGGCAAGTGATTTAACCTTTCAGTGCCCTAGGTAAATCCCTAAAACAACAATTTGCAAGCCTTGTATGTCATCAGAGGGAGTTCTCTATGCTAATGAAATCACAGGTTCAGTGCCCCCCCCCCAAAAAAAGAAGAAGAAAAGAAAGACACACAGAGAGAAAGGTTACAACATATGCAAGGGATTCTCCCCATAGGGTGCTCAGGGTCCAGAGGGAAGATGTTCAGTTGTGAAATCATCTAACACATCTCCCTGTATTTCCTAATTTCGATGTGAATTGTTTTCATGGGTCATATCAAAGATTATGTGACTGAAAAATAAATGTTTTCCTAATTATTTGAGATCTTATATTTTCTAAGGGCTAGGTCAGCAAGACCAACAACAGATATACCAGAAAACACATGGCAGACAGGGAGTGCTATACAAAAGCCAATTATCAATCATTTTCATAAGCCTTTTTACACCAATATCACACTCCCTCTGACTCCCATCACCTACTACGGTGGCACCAAACTTAGGGGTAGGATCATGGGATTGTAGCTTCCTAGTTGAAAAGGGCACCTCAGAGGCCACATAATCCAAAACCCTTATTTTAAAGAAGGATAAATTGAGGCCCAAGGAGGTGAGGTGAGTTGTCCAAGGTTACACAGAGTGACGGAGGCAGGATTTGAATATAGGTCCTCTAACTCCAGAGTCAGTCATTTTTGCACTCTACCCAGGTGCCATCCCAGGATTCATGTTAATCAAATAAATCACAACCTAAATCAGATCCATTTGAAATTCTTAAGAGTTGCCTTTGGAAGGCAGTCACCAACGTGATCAAATCAATCTGACTCCTGTGATGCTTTGTGTTACCTTTCAATAACATAGGCTGTGGCCTCGTGGCTGATGGATGAGGAGTAGGTTTGCCACTCTCCTCCTGGTAGTTCTCGGATCTGCACTGTGAAATACCGTATTGGTGATGACCCATCACTGCCAGGGACCCACTGGAGTTGCAGGCTCCGAGATGTTACTTCTGACTGGGGAATCAGAAGATGTCTGGGTGGTGCTGGGCGATCTGAAATGAAAGGAAAGAATGACAGACAATCCAGAAATCCTTGATCTTGAAACCTTCCCACCAGAAACTGACCTGTTCCACAGACAACAATTTTACTCTGCATTGTCCATTATAAGTTTATATGTAGGCTACACGTAGATGTAAACAAGAGCTACTGAAAATGCTTGCTACTTTCACATGAAACACAGATGCCCCCATGTAGCCATCCTCATAATGGACTCTAAAAAGACTACAGCCTTGATGCTGAAATACTTTGACTGAAAAATACCTGCTTCCTCCTAGAACACTCCATTCTCAGCAGAGACAAGCCAGTTACTGGTGCAAAACAGAAGAGAATCAATAAAAGATTTACCCAACAGCACCTAAGACATCAAATACAAGTGACTTTGAGTGACAACTGAGACTGTAGGAAGTCTGTCTATACTTCTAATCACCTTCCAGTTATTTTTTTTACTCTTTTCTCTTTTTCCTTTTTCTTTCTCCCTTCCCCCTCTCTTTTTCTTTTCTTCTTTTCTTTTCTCTTTCTTTCCTCCCTCCCTCTCTTCCTTCTTTCCTTCCTACATTCCTTCCTTCCCTCCCTCCTTCCTTCCTTCCTCCCTAGAAGTCTAACTATAGTGTATTTATATCACAAAATTGTCTTTGATTCAAATTCCTTGACCTGAACCTAAAGAGTTAAGACAGTTGGTTCCAACAACTGTATGGAATTCTTCAGGGTAATGGTGTGTTACGCCATCTCTCTGGAGATGGAGAATGGGCATGCAGGTGCTGTAGATACCAGGACATGGTATCTGAATATAGATCTCTTCTCCTGTCACCATGTCTCCTCACCCCATCGATTTCAATAGAGAAACTCAATAGAGTGAGGAATAATTGTTTAATTGTTTATCATGAAGATTATTGATTCTGATTAAAATGGGTGGCATGTAATAAAGCAGCAATTGATTGTCGACACCACAGTGACTTGTCTGTGAGAAGCTATTCGATTCAACTTAATCAGCACTTGTTTCCATAAGCACACACCTCACACAACCTGATTTCTCTGAAGCTCTGTCTGTATTAATAGCATTTCATTCTCTGCTTTCCCCCTTTCTCAGAGTGCCTACTTGGTGGCTTGGTACTTCCCTCAGATTTTCTCTGGCTGAACCATGAGGGCTGAAAGAACTATATGCAGGAGCCCAAAAAGTTTCCTTAATATCATCAGGGGTTGTTGGGGGGGCTATAACTGTGTAAGCCACCACTCCGTTCTATCAGCATCAGGCAGGTGTTTGTGGATTAGGGCGCATCAAAAAGGGTCTTAATGTTAATACCTAACACTCAGATATGATTCATTTTAATGCACTTAAATTTGACTTTAACCCTTTGGCAAAACTCCAATCCCAAGCTCTTGATATGGGTTTAATTTTTTTCTTTCCTAATAGATTACAATTAAAAAAATGCTGAGTACTTATAATGATCTATACCAGCTGTCAGGGAGATGACGAGTTCTAAACTCATGGAAGTGGCATTTAGTTGCAAGCCAATACAGAGCTTAGTACTAACCCTTTTGGGTCCTTGCTTATAACAGAAATGCAGCTGTGGATGAGTTCCAAGGAAGATATGGTGTCAGAGCAAGACTTTCACGCTTAACCTATCCCCAAATGCTCAAATAACTGAAAAGCAATACTGTTAGTACAATGTCTACAAAGGAATTATGTTCTGTGGCTAATGTGTAATCAGTGATAATATACAAGTAACTTTTAAAAATAGAACCACAGGATGTTAAAGTAGACCCAGTTAATGGGCCTATGAAAAACTGTCCTTGAAAAATCATGTGATATATTATAGAGATAACTTGCAAGGTAATTATGGAACAATTTATGTCCGTGGGTTTGCAATATAATATACACAAATATGTAGTATGAATAGCCTTTTCCTTGTAATTCTTTCTACCTCAAGGTTCAAAATTTTTTGGCTTTTAGGATGATGATGAATTTAGATAATTCATATTTTTTATTATTGTCTTGTGGAGGACAATAAATGTCTCACTATATTGACCCTTCATTTCAAATATTTATTGAGCCTTTACTATGTGTTCAACATTGTGCTTCTGATTATAGTGGAAACAAAAGAGGCTTATGATACAATCCTTGCCCTTAAGGAGCCTAGAGTCCTGTTGGAGAGAGAAGATTGAAGTACAGAAAACATTCAGAGAATGGTATGAAAAAGAATGCAATGAGAGGTCAGGAAGGAAGAAAAGCTATTAGGACAGGCTAGAATTGCCTGGAAGGCTTCATGGAGAAGGTGACACTAGATGGGTAAAATTTGGATGAGTAAAGAGGAAGGCATACAGAGAGCAAGGGATGAATATGGGCATAGACTAAGAAATGAGTAGGGTGTGTTCAGGAGACAGGAGAAGAAAAGTTAGGGAGACAATTGGAGAAAAAAAGAAGACAGGGCTGGATTTTAAAGGACCTTAAAGGACTTTAAAGGATAAGGAATTTGGACTGAGGAATTAGGCAAAAACATAACAAAACAAAATAAATCAACAATTGTTTCATTGAGTCCACTATAAATTAATATCAAGGATAGGGGCTGGACCTGGGATTTCATTAATATAAGGATAACCTAGATGAGGAAATTCCTTCATCCAATTCAGTTCAGCACCTCCTCTGCAAGTTCCAGTCTTACAGACTTGCCCAGAGTATCACTGAGAGTTTAAGTGACTTGCCTAGGATCACTGGGCCAGTGTGTCAGAAACAGTACTTGAACCCAGGTCTTAGAGACTCTGAGGCCAGCTCTCTATCTGACTGAGGCACCAGTCAAAATTAATAATAGTTCTGCCTAAAGGATTATCTGAAGGGGTGACTTAGCACAATGTTAGAATGGCTTATATTTTTGTATAGTTAGAGCAGGAGGAGGCCCGAAAAGCCTTAACATTTGAACATTTTCAAAATCTGAAAAGGAAGTTCCCTTCTTTTAAATATATCTTCCTTTGAAATATAGGCATGCTCTGTAAATATTTTTTCTTCTGAAACCTAACATCTGATGACTGGAGTCTCTAGCAATGCTTGGATTTTGACCTAAACATCTCTAATTGTTTTTTGAAATATATTGGGTTTAGTGCACTCTTCCCTAACCTTGTAGCTTATAGTGTAAATGGGATCTATATTGATTCACTCATCCTTTTAGATTGTCTACCAAAATATTAGTTTATAAAATCTATTTGGTCATTGGTTGTGACTGGAAATCTTGATCTTTAATAGTAAGAAGTGTTAATTTTATAATAGTTTTGGAAAGCTGAAAGGAGATGACTGAGACAGCAGGGACAGTTAAGGATTAATGTCCTCACTGGAGTGCTCTGGTTATAACATAGTTGGAAATAGATAATAGAAGCCTCCTGTTAGCTTTGTACAACATTTCACTTAGGGAAGATCAGCATTAAGAGAAACAGGAGGGGCAACTAGGTGGTACGGTGGATAGAGCACCAGCCCTGGAGTCAGGAGGACCTGAGTTCAAATGTGGCCTCACACACATAATGCTCACTAGCTGTGTGACCCTGGGCAAGTCACTTAACCCCAATTACCTCACCCCCCCCAAAAAAAAAACAAAACAAGAGTAACAGGAAGGACATTCACCTACGGAGGTTAGACTCTGCTGACACTTTTAGGGGAGCATATCCAGTTCAGGAAACAATGACAGGACATTTGGGGTTGGGGTAGAGGGGAGCCACAAATAAAGATTTCTGGCCCGAGTGAAGTCTGAGGAAACTACCCACATCGCATTGAACGCTACCTGGTCTGGGTTTGCCATTGCTGGCTGCCCTACGTGTCATGAAAACTTACACGAGAAGGGAACTGAATAAAAAGACCTGACTCAGGTAGCAGTTAGAATATATATAGATTAAGATATGATATAACAGAGAAAGCTAAAGATTGAATGAGTTCAGGAAAGGAGAGTACAAATGTGACATATGTATTCTATCTGTGACTTTGGAATGTGATCTTGTAAGCCTTACCTCTCTTTTCAGTCGTGATGACTGTGGCTTCTAAAGGCTCCCCCCATCCCTGTCTTGTCTTTGCCGAAGCCCTGAAGATGTATGCTGACTCCGGAGTGAGATCTGTAGCAGTGAACTGTCTAACAGTAGAGCCAACTTCAACAGTGGTAAACTTATTGGGACTGCTGGTTGCAAGACGATACGCAATCTGATACCCTAGATATGCATTAGCCAAGGCAAAAAGAATAGAGGAAAAGACTTAGCTTCTTGTACATTCTTTCCGTGAAGAATAATGCTAGATTCCTAGTGCATCCTAATTACTTATTTATTGGAAAGACAAACAAAACCATTTTTTATTTTTTTTAATCACTTATTCTCCGCCCCCCACCCCCCACATATATCTCACATTCAGACATAGCACACTAAAAGGGAAACTACATGCACAGTGATGAATGAAAGGGCCTTTTGAGCACTAATCCACCATGAAACTTGTTTCACTTTTCATCCTTCACAGGAATGAGATGTGAAAACAGTTTCATCTTTCCCGAGTACATTGGTACACTGAGAGAATGCCGTAAGGACCAGCAGAGTCCACATGATTGTTTTTGACAGGGTGAGTCAGTACAGAGAAACTAATCTCCTTTTCCATACCAACACCATCACCCTGCCTGTAAACACATACATACCTTTGCAAGGATGGGAGCAGAACACCATGTTGCTAGACTAGTTTTTAAAATATGCAGTACCTTGACTGCTTAGACAGTACAGCACCCTGGATAGCCACACCACATATCCAGTTGACTCTCACATCTGTTATTCATAGTTATCCCTTTTATCTTCCCTATCTGCTCACAGATACCCAGCATCCCAAAGCTGTAATTGATGGCACAAGCATATTTCTATTTCTTTATGTCAAAAAAAAAAGCCTTCCTGTATTTTCTCCTCTCTCCCCCAAGTTGCAACACTTCAGGCAACTCTGAGCCGGGGTGGAGGTAAGGGGGGAGACAGGGAATGGCAAGTTCTGCTTTGAATAACACCCTTCCTGCCAACGAGCAGGAATGCACTTATTAATCAGTCGGAGGGCTCTGCAGGCTCTAAACTTCTCTCAAAGTGACTTGATTATTAAGAGCTGACGGCTGATCACACATTATTATTACTTAGATCACTTCAACCAGGCCATCCCAAACCCTCCTATACTGGGGAGACAAATGGCCCCTGAGGAAGAAGTGCCAACTTTTCAATTCTTTTGCCACAAATAGTAGTGACAGGTGCTCCTTTTTTTTTTTGAGCTTGCTAAGAACTTGTGGTCCAAATGTTAAATTCCCAAATTGACTGAAAGCATAATGACTAGGGCTTTGTTGTCCTAAAATTAAAAAAATTAAACCTTTCAATGCTTCAAGTTCTTCTAGGGAGAACAGGTAAAGAGGGGGAAATCAAACCCCAAACAGCTGAACTCTGTCTTCACCAGTTTTTGCTAACATTCAGCTCATCCTTTGAACTACAAAGGCTTCTGCAGGGTTCAAATATGAACTCCCAATCCCAGTTATGACTTGAATACTTGTCTTTCTGCATTGTATCTTATAAAAGCAAAAAGCTAAAAGTTTTCATAGGTGAATATCACAGGCCCTCCAAGGGGGAGGTGATAGAGGGAGGAAAGAGAGATTGGATAGGAAAAGAGAGCTGACATGGGGGGGTTATGGGACATCTGTTACGGGAATGGAAAGTGAAAACTGGTGATAGGTGAGATGACAGTGGTTCTTGTAGCAAGTGATGAAGTGGCTGGGCAACAAATGGTTAATGGACCCCTTTCTGCCTTCTGTGTCAATTAATGTGCTGCAGTGAAACACCATAGCATCAGTGTCAGGATGAAGATGAGAGAAGTAACCAGAGTCCTTCAGAGAAAGAGGCTGAATAAATTAACCAGAATGGTATAGGACAGAACAAAGACAAAAGGGCTCTTTTGAAACCTGCGCGAGGCAATTGCTGAATAGTCAAGGCTATACAAATTCCTCTAACAGAAAAGGGCTGAAGTGTAAGGGGAAGGAAATGGAATAATTAGATGAGTTTAGGGATATGTGTTCTAGGGAATGGATCAGAGGTGACCATATACAAGACAAATTAAGAAATTAAGCAAAGGGTCCTTCTTGTGTGTGTGTGTGTGTGTGTGTGTGTGTGTGAGAGAGAGAGAGAGAGAGAGAGAGAGAGAGAGTGTGTGAGTGTGCATGCGCGCTGGTGTCAGGAGGGTCTTGTGTTTTCCTAGAAGGAAGAATTGTGGAAGAAAAAGGACCCTGAACTATCAGAGAATAAACTCCTGTTGTGTCCAACTTTCTAGAGAGGAGGCAGTATCTGTCATTGATCCATGCTGTACTTATCATGCTAGACAATTACTGTTCTGTTAATCCCCTGGCTTCACATCAGCTAGAAGACCAAGAAATGAAAGAGTGAGGCCATTGGCAAAAGGAACTTAATGGTGTCTCCCCAGGGGAATGATAGTTCAGTTAATGCATGGATAGGTACAAACCTTGGCATTAACCCCAGACTAGGAAACAACTGGCAAGCACAGTGACTCTTAACATTTCATGGGAGGACAAACATCAAAAGAAATGCCACGTGATACTCATAAGCATGTTATTATAATAGTAACTGTTTTGGATCTACATGTATTACTTTGTATATCTGTGGTATATGACACTGTACTGATTGCATTAAGCCCAGGTACATGAGAGAGTTTCAACAATAAAACTCACAGTTACTCAAATAAGATCAGCCTAGCTATCCACACACACACACACACACACACACACACACACAAAAACCAAAGACAATGAAGAATGATTGTTCACTAGATTATGACATGTAGTTAGCTGGGTGACTCACTTAGTATATCTATTTTGAAAAGATATTAGTGGTGAACAATAGTCTGGGCCAAGAATTGAATAGAAGGTGGTCAGTATTTCCCATTTGGGAAACCACACATGTATTTCAACAACACTAAGTGTTGGCTGTGGGAAAAGGCCATCTTTTAATCACCAATATTCTGCCAGTGAGTGCTGTATGGCTGAGGCTCACAGAACACCATGATCTCAGAAGAATCACAATTTTAGGTAATAAAGAAAATTATACAGTTTAGTATAAACTACCTGTCACAATAATGACTTTGTGTACAAGAAATGATATAAAAGCCATCATTGAGAAAGTGCTGCTGCTGTTGCTGAAATAAAATGTAGGGGTTAACTAGATAATGCCTAAGGTCTCTTCCCATTCTCAGTTCTACACAGGACTGGAAACAGAGATGTACTAGTCACATAACGAAAGTGAGAGACAACAGAAAGGCAGCCTGATTGTTTCATCAGTATGCATGACATAGTAAAAGGAACAGAAGAAAGCCTAGTATGTTGGATTTAGAGAAGGACACAGTTAAAACCATTTGAGGATAGGAAGACATAGGTGTATGACAACCTGCCCCAGAGAATAAAGTACCTACATGGATGAAATCATGGATTCTTTGAAGCATCCCAGCATATATTACCACCTGTGAAGAGCAGGGTTTAAATGGACTCCAGATGGCAGTCATTATGTTCAGAATGGGTGACTTTCCATTTTGTGTCAGTGTCCTCTTGCTTTTATAATATAGATTATAATGAAGGTAATGGCAGCTGGCAATAGTAGGAGACTTAGTGCTAGTATAGACTATAGATGTGACCTCCATATAATTATCATACTTGGTGTCTCCCATATGTCATGGTAGTGGACATCATTTCATAGCTGGACAAATTACAAAGGGCAGGAGCTGGGAAAGTGCCAAATAGCCTCGGTGGATGTTGGAACTAAAGAAAGAGAAAGAAGACAAAAGGAACTGGTGCTATTTAGCCTGGAGGGAAAAAAAAATAAAAACAAAAATACTCTGTGGTAGATGTGGAAGCTGTGTGAAGGTCTGTCATTTGGAAGAGTGATCAGACTTATTTTGTGTAACTTCAAAGGGAAGGACTAGAAGACACATTTAATAAAATATTTATGCAGTTGAACCAAATTGGAACAATGGGTTGATATCAGAAGAAGAAAAATTTTAATTCTATTTTCTTTGACCATTTATTAGAGATGTAGTAGTGGGGATTTTTGTCCAAGTTGATGGCTTCTAAGGTCCCTTCCAACTTAGATTCTCTGAACTACAATGAAGAGTGTGTGTGTGTGTGTGTGTGTGTGTGTGTGTGTGTGTGTGTGTGTGTGTGTAGAGATGCTATTCTAGGAAGAGCCTGTGGGGATAGTCCAATTACAAGGAAGAAACTCAATGCTATGGGACAGTCCAAGAGAAGAGAGAACAGAATCAGGACCTGAGAGGTCCTGGGTATTAGAGGTCAAGGGTATTAGAATATCACCGTGCCTGATGGAGAAAAGAAAATTAAGCTTTGAGGGCAAGAGGGGTTTCTTTGAATTGGCTGTTGTACCTAAAGCCAAGGCACTGCTCCTATTAGGGAAGTTAGAAGAGGAGAAGGAGGTTCCTTGTGAAAAAGTCCCTAAGCCCAAGATCCTCCTAGCATTGTTTCCAAAAGGAAAGAAAATAAGGTCCTGAGAGACTCTGGACTAGCTCCAGAAGCCCTGTCTCTCTAGAGACTGAAACTAAGCATTCAGATTAAGGAATAAATTATATAGCTGCTGGTATTGGAGCAGTGGGGCAGCTAAGTTGCACAGTGGATAAAGTGCCCAGGACTGGGGTCAGGAAGACTGAGTTCAAATCTGGCCTCTGACACTTACTAGCTGTGTGATCCTGGGTAAGTCACTTAACCCTGTTTGCCTTGGTTTCCTCATCTGTAAAAATGGGCCAGAAAAGGAAATGGCAACCCACTCTGGTATTTTTGTCAAGAAAACCCCAAATGGGGTCAAGAAGAGTCAAACACAACTAAAACAACTGAAAAACAACAACAACAATGTTGGAGCACCTGACATCCCTACTCAGAGAGATCTGGGCCCAGGAGAAGGAAGAATGGGTGAGGAAGTTCTGACTCTGTGGGAGGGATTGAACCAAGAGCCTAAAGAAATGGCCCAGAGATCCCCAAGAGCCTTCCCATGCCTTTGGGAGTGGCTTCTTAGAGACCAGGATGTAGAGGTGCCACAGCCCAGAGCTGAGATTCAGGTAGGGTATATACCCATTGACCTGACAGACTTGATCTTTACTGATGTAACTATGATCTTCTCATGGGAAAAGTGGATCCCAAGCA